GGGCGGGGCGGGACCCGGGCGGGGCGGGATCCAGGCGGTGCGGGATCCAGGCGGGGTGGTGCCCGGGCCTGCAGGGAAGGGCAGGCAGGGAAGCCCTGCGGGTGCTGTAGGAGAACCCACCTCTGCCCCGCCTCCCCCGCAGGCCGTGGATGACCTGCTGCGGTGCGGGATCTGCTTCGATTACTTCAGCATCGCCATGATCATCCCGCAGTGCTCCCATAACTGTGAGTAGGGCGCTGCTGGGGCCGGGTGTGGGTGTCCCGTGTGTGTGGGACACATCCCCACCTCCTGCCCGTCCTCCAGCTCATGAGGACCAGCCAAGAGCTGGGGCCAACACAAGACTGGCCTCCCTCCCCTGTGCCTCCTGCCCTGCGGTTCATGTATGTTGTGGAGGGTCAGTTAGTACATCACTGTGGATGTGGTGGTTGCAGTTTCAATTCACTTGAGTTTTAACAAAAGATTGCACAGCAGTTCTAATAAAAATTGCCAGAGTAGGAGCCAAGGTAAATGAGGTCAATGAAGGGGTGGTGAGGTCCTTCCTCCTGGTACCCTGTGACTTTGTGGGATTTAGAATTTACATATTTAATGTAAGTGCCCATTGCTGTGCATCTGGGGTGGCTGTGCTGGCAGTGTGTCCTGGGGACTCCTTTTAAGCCTGACTTGTCATTCAGGTGACAGATGAAGGCAGACAGGTAGGGCTGGAGAAGGTGTGCTCAGGGAGAGCTTGGGTGCATGGTTTGGTCTTCAGACTTCTTTCCAGGAAACACAAGACTGGGGAATGACCCTGTGGGCTGCCAGAATCTTCTTGCACCTTAGTTGAGTGAGAGACAACTATTGAAAAATGTCCTCAAAAAAGTTTTCTCCTTTCGAGTTTCGGAAACGAGTCGTCATTTGACCATTTATTATTTACTGGTACACAGAACAGAAATTACAGATCCTTTATTTCCTTTATAAAACTCTTCAGCTCATGGCTCAGCCAGCCAGGACATCTGCCTCCCGGGAGCTCTCTTGGCTGAGGGCTGGGGAGCAGCCAGCACCCTTACCTCAGCTGTGGTTGCAGCCTTCCATCAGCACAAACAGGTGTTGTCTGGGATAATGCACTTAATTCTATGGACAAATGGTGCATTTTGAATGTTGGTGTATTGGGGGTTAGTTTGCATGTGTTGTACAAAAGGAAAGATGCCAGTGAGGATGTTGAACTGCATTTGGAAGAATGGTTGCCTAAAAATAACTTATTTCCTTTTCCCAGATTGTTCCCTTTGCATACGCAAGTTTTTGTCCTACAAAACCCAATGTCCAACATGCTGTGTGGTAAGTGATTTTCTCAGCTTGTTTTTGTTAATGTTTTTGGTGAATCTCAGGAGCTTTTCTCTTTGGACTATACTAAGTAACTAATTCTGGCTGTATATTACCACTTTCCTTTTGGTGAGCAGCTCTGGGCAAAGTGTGGTGCTCTTACCACTGGGATTTTCCAGTGTCAGAGCTGCTCTTGTGTCAGCACAGGCAGAAGTAGATGGAACACCAAGCCTGGTTCAGAGCTGTCTGTACAGTCCGTCACAACACTGCCTCCTAATTTTTTTAACAGTCCGTCACAACACTGCCTCCTAATTTTTTATTTACTCTGTCATTTAAAAGATGAGTGCTGAGATTTAAGCCCTTAAATTTTTCCTTATGGAATGGCCTCACTTCATCTTCCAAGGAGCCCTCAGCAGTGTCCACAGAGCACCCAGTCCTGAATCTCCCTGCTCATCCTGTGCACCCTCTGTGGGGATGAGAGGGAGCATTTGCCATGAGCATCAGGTTCTCAGGGAGGGGCACTGGAGCCAGGCTGGGCCTGCTCTGCAGGTGGTGGTCATCACCCTCTGCCTCAAAGGCCTTTTTTGATGAAAGAACACAGAATGCAATTTATTCTAGGCCTTATCTAACTTTCATCCTAAACCAATTGGGCTTTATTGAACTCCTAAAAATGGTAGGCTGCCTAGAAACAGTGACACTTCAGGAATACTGACAAAATAGAAGTAATTTTCCCTTGTGTTTCTAAAGCATGACAACTAGGCTTTTCAAGACTAGAAAACAGATACATTTGTAAATTGCCAGTTTTTAAACATTCAAACAAGTTCAGACTACTGGTGTGCAATTCTGGGGAGTGCATTTTACTCTAACCTTCATAAAAATGGTAGGCTGATAAAAGCTTTGTAGAAAAGAAGAGCAGAGAGACAGCCAGAGAGATAAACAAATGAATTGACTGCACAAAGCCATCTCATCATTCACATTTTCATTCCATAATCACTCAAAAGATTAATATTTTCCTTCATCAGTTTTCATGCCTTGTTGCTTAAGGTTCTTACCACCTTCATGGGTTCCTTGCTTTGGTTTTCAAAATAGTTAGAACCAGGCCATACTAAAGCATTGTTGGAGTCTTAGGATACTAGAGTTTCTTGCTTCAGCTTTATGCTTAATTTTTATCTATACCTATCATTTCCCAGACTTACAGTTCTCAGGCAGTTATTTTAGTCTGAGAGATTTTTTGGGGGAAATAATGCTTGCACATGATGCGTCTTCATTGATGTAGCAATTTAGCAGGGAGTACTTGAGACCTTGATCCAAAAACCAAACTACTGATCACTTGAGTATTTTCACTGCATTTGGATGTTTGTTGTTGTTGGGTTTTTTCTCCTTTTCTTTCTTTCTTTTTTTAATAGGCAGTCTCGGAATCTGACCTGAAAAACAACCGAACATTAGATGAACTAGTGAAGAGCTTCAGCTCTGCAAGGTGTGCTGTAATCTTACTAATGCAATCTCTGGTTTGGCAGCTGGAAAGGCAGGTGTGACTGACTTTGTGTGACCAGCCCAGGAGTCATTGCAGAGCAGCAGAGTGAGGAGCAGTGTGAGAACTGGGTGAAAAATTTCTGGTGTCACAGAAACATTGTCAGAGATGCTTTTGGAAAAATCCTACAGTTTCTGGCTGAGAGTTGCTGTCCCCTCAGTGATGTGTTGGGGCTGTGTAAGCTTATTTTGGTTTTGCTTCTGGTTAGCTCCTGTGCGAGTTACAGTCTCTTTCAACATCTAGGAAAACAAGCAGATGTGTCAGGATTCTACAGGGAAAATAATGGTAAAAATATTTCCTTCAAGGATCCTTCTTCTATGTGCAGGGGAAATTCTGGACAGAGAGATTTTTGTCTAGGGGGATTGGTCAACTTGCAAGAGATCCTCTTGGTGAAGTCATTGGATGGGAAAAATGTAGGTATTGAGGGACCAGGAATGTGGCTTTTCCTAGATAAGAGAAGTAATGTTTCACTTGGATTTCTCACTGGTTTTAATTAATTTTTGATCACCTCACCCCTCTGAAAGACAGGAACAACAGGATAAGCATGACTTGGTGAACACTTGCCACAGTAAATGGATGATGTTTCTTGTATTTATCTGTCTGTTCTCCTTTGATTAGAAGGAACTCAGGGATTTGCTGGGTCCTTTTTAGGCGTTCCTGTGTCTATGGGAGGCAAATAAATGGTCATCTTTTTCTCTGAAGTGAACTTGGAGCTTGAAGTCAATGAGATTCTTGGCTTCATAAATGATAGGAAGCATAGTTCAGTTTATGGCTTTGTTTCTTGAGAGAGTTTCTCTGTGATGAAGATCTAATCTCCTGCATGACCACTGTTAGATTGAATTGATTTTATTTGAAGAATTGAAACTCTCCAGCTCCATTATTTTAGCTTGAACTCTGTCTTTGGTGTTTCCTAGTGATAAATGGATTACTATTTTTTTTTTTGGTAATGTCTCATTTTGTAGGGAACAAGTAGTGCTGACTTGGATCCATTATGATATTGAATCTTAAACGTTAATTTTTCCGACTCCTTTAATGGATCAGTATAAATCTTACCAGTCAGAGAAGTATAATAATCTTTCCTTTTGTGACTTGGAGTTCAATCAATTTCTCAACATAAAGTTAAATCAATAAGATGGGAACTTCAGGGTCCTGTTTTGCACTGGGTGGGGGGCAAGGTGGGAGAGCCAGGGCAGGCTGATTTTTGCCCTTGGTAAGAAAGGCCCAGCAACAAATGTACCTTACTGAGGTAACTGCTTCAATAGGCAGAGTGATAAGAGGAATATAGATGGAGAGTGAATCTGGTGTCACTTCAGATGAGAGAGGCAGCCTGTGTTTGTGCCTCTCAGCCTGGGGTTGCCCTTACCCTGGAGGAGGTTCAAGGGAACGCTGCTTGCCTGACGTGACCTGGGTATTGTTAAAGCATAAGAGCATTGCTCCTGTCTGTTCTGGTGGTGCTGACACAGGACAAATCTTCTGTCTAACTCTCTCCATCCCCAAGTTTCCTTTTGTCCCTCCTCAAAACAAATCCAAAGTCCAGGGGTTGATTTTTTGAAGCATGCTTATCTCTCTGAGTCCGTCCTGCCTTGACTTTGAGCCGGAGGTAGTTTAGCATTTATGAAAATGAGGCCTTAAATCTTTTCAGTATTTCACAAAATGCAAACAAATTTCTTAAGTCAGGCCTGTAGGGAA